GAGATAACATTTACGGTTTGGTTTTATATAGAGAAAGAAAATGTTGTTTTTGTTTCTTTGTTGATTCACCCATATTTGCTTGGCCACAAACTGTTTTGCCTTAATGTTATTTCTACAATTATCTACACATTATCTTTGGATTTTTGTATAGTATGGATTCCATATATTAGGCCGGGATTATCTATAGTTTTCACATGTCAATGGGCTTTTATAAGGCCTAATAATAGCCTGTATAGTCGTATATGATTTTGAAAACTTCTAGCCCAATAAGATCGCGAAACTGAGTACATACTAACTCAGTAACTTACTGATCAATTCAATATGACTTTGACAATTTGTATACTAACAATCAAAAACTAGTTGGTAGATTTAGTTTACTTTGAAATAAGGTTAAAAAATGTTCTTGAATTTAACATTGATTATTGATCCATGAAGCTACAAAATCTCAAAGTTCTGATGGATTCCAAAAGACAACATATTTGATCTCGTAATAGAACTCTAGACGTAGAAACAAAGTAAAACCAAAGAATAAACTGATGTCTCTGCACAACACTTTTATCATCCATCTTAGTACAACAACAAGCAAAGACATAAATATAGCAAGAAAACACAGCACAAATCCTAAAACGCAGACCCGAATTCAAACTTGATTGGTTTGTACCTTAACCGCCTTAAACGCCGGATGAAGTAACCCGAGCTCGTCTTTCATCTCTAGTGGATTGCTAGTCTCGTTTCGTACTCTCTTGACTTTGCGGCTAGCCAATGATTTGTGAGTGAAACCATAGATCTGCAGAATCTGGTTATCCCCAAAGTTAAAGGCTCTATCCATTTGTTTTAGACACCGTTCAACCGGGTAATCCCCAAATTTCCCGCATGGTTTGCAACCGACAAAGTGAGTAACCAATGGCCATCTGTGATCGCCTAGACCAGGGTGGTAGTTCTCTATCATTTCTTCATATCTGTCGACCAGAATCCCCCAGTATCCGTGGAGATAGTATCCGCTCTCTAGGTATACCTACAACAATGCAACGGCTCAAATGAGTAGCTCAACAAAACCAAACCAAGCGAAAAGCAAAGAAAAGATATAGACTTTGAGATTACTTCAATAATAGACCTTGACAACAATGTTTGAAACCACAAGATGCAACTCACATTGTGCTTTGTGAAGAGAGATCCAATCTTTATGTGATCAAGAGACATTATAAACCGACAAGATGCAACTCACGTTGTGATTTGTGAGCAAAAAAACCGATCTTTATGTGATTAAGAGATCTTTGTGTGATCAAAAGATGCTATAAACTAACAAGATGCAACTCACATTGTGATTTATGAGCCAAAAAAAAACCAATTTATGCAATCATGAGAAATTATGGACTTATAAGGAATAAAGTTCACAGCTTTAACCAGTAAAATTTCAGTTATTATTACCTTATTTCCCCAAGTGTCTCGCTGAGTAGCCAACAGATAAACCATTGCAGACTGATCATCAGCTTCGAAAACCGGCCTATCCTTGAGCTCACGGGTCAAAACCTTACCCGCTTCCTCACGGATCTTCCCTTTCGGACCCATAGGAGCCCAAGTATCAAGCAAATCAAGTGCCCATTGATTGTTCCTAAGCAAGAAACTACCAGTATTCAACCCAATCCAATTCTTCTGATCATAAACCATCTCGTTCCAACCATGCATCACGAGATTGTAATCTTTATACCTCTCCCACGGAAGCTCAAACGCCATATCAGTAAACATAGCATCACTATCCATCCACCATAGAAACTCAATCTCAGGGTGAGAAAGCAAAAGCTTCCTTATCAATGGCAGCTTCGCCCAAAAACCAGCCATTTCAGCATCAAGAAGAGCCATGTTGTAAAAGATCTCGATCCCATGTAACCTACAGTAATCGATCTTGTTCTTGATCGATTTCAAGAGGTAATGATCTCCGACAGGATTCTCACATGGCTTTGGAGCCGAACCAGTCACCAAAAGCACACGTGGCTTGTTTGGTCCGATGAAATTAGGGAAACTAGGGTTCTTAGCTAACCAATCGGATCTTTGCTCATTCCAATCTGATATCTTTGGTCCTAGAGTGTAAGGTTTATTCGGGTCTGGTTTCTCTTCTTCTCCTTCGTCAACGAATATCTTGTTGATGTCAAATGTCTCGTAGTTTTTGCTCCCACCGGAGTTACCTCCACCGTCGCCGGAGCCGGAGGAAGAAGAAGAATCACCTCCGGTCTGGATTTCTTCAAGAACACGGTGAGGCTCACCACGTTTACGCGATGTGTGGACAAGTTGACGGATCTCGTCGAAATCTTGCTCCGGAGTTCCGAATTTACCGGCACCGATTGTGCCACGTAGGACAACTACGGTAAGAACGAGACAGAGAATCGTTACCTTTAAATGACGTAAAGCTCTTTGGATTTTCCGGCACCGGTAAGCTCCTAAACACCTCTCAATCATTTTCTCCGATCTTCTACCTTTCTTCTTACGAATTCTTCTTCTCTGTTTATAGGAACTAATTTGGGTCTTTTAAGACAAGATCTGAGTTTCCATTAATGAAAGATTCAGAATTTTTGATAACACTGTTGTTTATCAAAAGTTACTACAAAGAGATTTTGCGACAATAAGATAGTTAAGTAAGGTTGTCTGAAAATTCACTCGGTTTGTGTCGGTGGTGGTGCTGAGTTAGTAGTGTTGTTGACACGTGGCGTGATATCAGAGTACGTGACTTGTGATCTATCATCCTGACCGTTAGATGTAGCATGGATCTAGAAATCGAAGAGCGTTGAAAAGTCAACTCGTAATAATACTGTAATTATATAAATAGAAAAAGGTTGAAAAGAAAAGGGAACATAAATAGGAAAAGATTTTCAACTTGTTGGATACGGTTAATTACTAATTAGAGGTTTATGTTTTTTTGGCGTTGATTACTAATTAGAGGTTAGTAGGTTACCAATTGGCTTTTGGCATTTATGATCTTCAGATATGATTTTTAGGGTAAAACAATTTTACAAATAATTTTAGTTTTTAAAAGGTACCAAAAG